GGGGGGGGGGGTGTTATCTGCGGCTGCCTGGAAACTCACTTAGGGATGCTGCATGCAGAATTGAATTTAAAAGGCAATGTCTTATGGATTGATTGGCTGGGGCAGGCTGTGCTCTGGTACGCAGGTGTGTAACAAGGGTGTTACTTGGTGAAGTCGCTGCTCTGAGATCAGAATTTGGCCCTGCAGCTTTATTAGAAAAGAAAAGTTAAATTTAAACACCCACTGATCTGGATGGGAGGGAAATATCTGCATTATGTGTAAGCAGAGGGGGAGGCTGCTGCAGTTCTGTCTCTGAAGGGCTCCCTCTTAATTAGCTGCGTGCACAGCCAGCGCTTCCCCCTGAGGATGAATGAGGTGTGGGGTGCTTGGCCCCAGGGATCCTCCTTAGCTTTCCTTCTCCCACTCCTTTTGCACCGGTAGTGAAGCCTGTGTTAGGGTGGGCGAGCTAGCATTGGAGGGCAGGAGGGAAGGGATCCTACAGAACCCGACAGATCAGTTGTTCGTGTGTGCGTGCGTGTCGGTGTTCAGCTTGGGTCCCCTGCACTGTTGGGTCTGTGATGTCATTGCTGCAGTATGTCTCGCAGTTGCCAGTTTGCTTTTTCCAATCGCTCAAGCCTCCGACATGACTGCAAAGTTGTGGGTTCTGCTCCTTTGCCAGGCAGGATCCCGGCATTCCTCCTGCCGTGGACTCCTCTCCACAAAATGGATCAAATCCGATCAGTGGAGTTGCACTGGGAAGGCTACGTGCTCCCGCTTGGTGTATGTCACTTCCATTGAAATTGGGTGTTGCCCCTGGAAGGAATTTGGCCCTCTGATTGTATGTAGCGTGATGCGTACCCCCCTTCTGCACAGTCCATCCGCCTCGTGGCTGGGGGAGGCTGGCTTTGGTACCTAGCTTTGATATGCTGCAGCTTGGTCTTTCCTCTAACCGGGCAGGCTCAGGAAGTGGCTTTACTTGGGCTTGTCTGGGCTTGTTCAGGCCTGGGCCAGCCTCCCTCAGTGATCAGAGGGATCAGGGTTGATCTAAAGAGAACTTGCCTGGGAGCTTTGCAGCTACGGTGCTGGCTGGGAGGCTCTGGAGAGCCCAGCAGCACAAATCGGACTCTTCTGATCCTTTCTTTCTCTTCAGGTAAACAGCATTTATGCATGAATCTATGGGGGTGGGTGGGT